TTTTTTTTTTTTTTTTTTTTTTTTCCCCTAGTACCTGTAAAGTACAATACAGGTACTTGAAAACGGCACATTAGACTAATCTACTGCAAAGTAATTGATGAACACGCGTAGGCTAGTGTTTAGATTAGATTAGTCTAATGCACAGTAAAGCAGCTCGTGTAGATGCAGCCACTGTTACAATTTTGAACTCAATTTTGATTGGTTTTCAGTACAAGTCAGACAAGGCCAGGTACTCAGGGTCTCCCTCTGCCTTTCACCTCCGGCTCTCAGGGTTCTCTGGAATAGGACGTCCCGGTGCTTGCCCAGGTCAGGGGACGGAGGTCATGCTAGGTCTAGAGACAGTGACCCAATTCTGGTCATGGCTGCTTCTCAGTGACTCCTGGTGACCTGGGCTAGCTGTCTTCCCACCCTGGAGTGCCCTGGCAGCTGGGAGCAGGAGGCAGAAATACAGGCTGGGGACGCCATGTGTATATGTGCGAGATGAGAAGGGCACCTCAGGTACATGCTGCTGGGGTATATCTGAGCAGCAGTGGCTAGCAGGGAAAGTAGCCAGCTTGGCATTAGATGGGAGGGGAGCTGTTCCTGTTGGAGGTGAGGTGGAGAACTGGGTAAGGAGCTCAGGAGGGAGTTGCCTTGGAATTGGCACAGCAGCTTTTGCTGTGGCTGTTTCATGCCACATTTCATAGCATGAGTATCATAAAATGCATTTGTATTGTAAAAGAGGTCTGTTGTTTCATCCCTTGTTGGAGCCAAGCACAATGGGAATTGATTCCTTTTCTTCAAGAGAAGCCATTTTAGGAATTTGTCTTTCCACTACCTGTCCTGGGTGTGCAGCTGCTCCAAAGTAATATAGATTGGAGATGAGTAACTTGTGGCCAGGGGCAGCTCTTGTGATTCACTATAAGTAGCACAATACATACAGGGGGGCAGGGTGGTGTGCAAGACATCTTGTATAGCAGGGAGAAAGCTGCAGCTCATTCTTATGCTTTGGAAACATGCACTTCCCAGGTAGCTAGTAGTTAATCTGCATCAGGCTCATGCTATTTACAGGTTTGATGGGCACTGCTGAGTGCATGATTGCACTGGGTTTGAAGGGTCTGCAGCTGGGTTGGTTGTTGCATGGGAAATGGATTGCTGTCAGACCCAGCTGCAGCCTACTCCAGTTGCCTGACAAGTTGCCACTTCTGCGAGTGCCTGTACTGCCCTTTCTCTGACCTCTCTCTGTTTGGTCTCCTGCCAGGTGTTCCTCTCCATCAAAGGGATCTATTACCAAGCAGAGGTGATGGGGCAGCTCATCACGTGGATCACCCCATATGCCTTTGCCCATGATGTGAGTACCGTCAGCTCTGCTCAAGTCTCCTATCTCTGTCCGCACTTCTTTCAATGCCTGTAAACGAGTGAGGCAGCATCCCAATCCTTCAGTTCTTCTGCTGGTATTTTGTAGGGGGAGGTACTGAGAAAGGGGCAAATTGTTCTGGAGGTTATCATAGTTAGGCTGTTCCATATGGGTCACTGTGTACTCAACAGTGTCAGGGCACTGGAAACTCGGGCTATACAGCTTGAAGACAAACAGTTCTCTGGAAGTGGCCATGGCCTTGCCTCTGTCATATCCTGTGTCCTGTTGCATATGATGACTGGTGGCTCCTGGGGCCAGGCTGTGCCAGTCTCACCAGCTCATCCTCCTCATTAGTTGTAAATAATGAATCTTACCAAGTTCCGAGAAGTAATTAAAAATTAACCTGAGCAAAGGGGTGGGTGGTTGTGAGTAAGTTGGCAGGAGGATCTACAGTCTTCCCCAGCTTAGATCAAAGGGATCTGGGAGTGCTCTCATCACAGGGTCTCCGTTCACTTCCTAGCAGTACGTGTCCCTGTTAGATGGTATAGGCAGCCTCAGCACAGAAGGTCATGGAAGACTGCGCAGCCCTCTAGAGCTGAGATCTGTCAGTAGGGCTATGCTTGGGAAGCTTGTGCCAGCTTTGGGAGTGCTGTGTGATGGTAAACTTGCTGAGGTATAAGTGGGAGAGGGCTGGATGGGACCTCCTGGGTCATAGGAACTAATTCTTGCTGTACAGTCTGGCTGCCTGAGACTAATACCAAGTTTTGTCTTAAATCCTGGTAGGTATTATGCTCCTGTGGGAGGTTGTTTTAGAGCAGGGGCAGGCAATTATTTTGGGCGGAAGGCCACTTACAGAGTTTTGGCAAGCTGTTGAGTGGGAGTAGCTGTTTCCTTCCCCACCCCCACCCCATGCCAAGCAGCAGTTTCTCCCCTGCTGCTGCTCAGCCTGAATGGGCAAACCCAGACTGGTGCTGGGGTCCAGGCTCAGCAGCAGCAGTGCAGGAGAAAAACTTTTGCCCAGCATGGGAGGAAAGTGGCTGCGTTCTCCTGCTGCCAGTGCTTCCTGGTGCAGCTGCTTGGAGCCCGTGTGGGGTTGCCCTGGGTCTGCTTTGCACTACCACCGTTGCCCCATGGGGCAGCCCAGAAGCAGCGGAGAGCAGGAAGCAGAGAGCGGCTATACCAGGAAGTTCCAGGAGGGGGAGGGGCCACTTCCCCCCCATACTGAGCAGCAGTTTGTCCCGTGCTGCCACTGCTCAGCCCAGGCAGGCAAGCACAGGGTCACAGCTGTATGCACTGTCCCCACCTGTACTGTGGGGCTGAGGCAGAGGGGACTGGGAGCGAGTGGGCACATAGGAGTGGAGCAACAGCTGGTTGGGACCGTGGGGTCCATCCTGGTATCCCAGAGCCAACACCTGTGGGGCCCAGAGGAGAGTGGCAGGAGCGCGAGGTCCCAGCTGGCAGGGGCTCTCTGGAGCCAGGCCAGCTCCCCTCTCCCTGCTGGTGCAGCCCAGCCCAGATCCATAGACCCCTGCCAGCCCATGCTCCTCCTGCCCCATTCTGGGCCCTGCCAGTGCTAGGCCTGGGACACCAGTGCGGGTTCTACATGCCTGCTCATTTCCACTCCCTGCCACTGCTTTCCCCACTGTCCTGCCTGCCTGCCAGCCACTCCTGCACTGGGAAGGGGGGGTGGCGGGGGGCGGTGCTGTGCTGCCCTCACCATCTTCTTCCACCAGCCACTCCTGCACCAGGCCAGAGCTCTACCACAGCTTTTTAAAGGAGAAAATCCACAGTTTTCCATGGCAAATGGAAAACCTGGATCCCTGTTTGTTAGTATACACAGCATTAACATGATGAAGCACAAGCAACATCTATTTAAAAAAATGTATACAAAATATGATCTACTTCTAAAGTTTGTTTGCAACCCATTCATATATTCATGTGACCCACTTCTGAGTTGCAATCCATGGGTTGAGAAACACTATTCCAGGGCACCTGGTCTCTGGACTTCAAGAGGGAGTACTCTACAAACTCTCATGTCCTTTGAAAAATGTCATGTGATGCTTTCTGGGCAGTCCCTGCTGTAGGGTCCCTTTTCCCTCCTGCATCAGTTGTGCCAAGATGTTCTGCTACCTTCAGTGTGCTTCAGATTGGGCTCCAAATCAAGACATCTGCACTGATCCCCCTCTTTTGGAACATCAGATGCTTGCTGTAATCCAGATCCTGCAGCTAGTGAGCGCCACATGGAATAGTGGATCCTAGTAAATGTGGCAGGGTTCCTTCAATAAATAACTGCAGTTGTGTCACTAGTCTCTGAGATGCAAATGCAAAAGGTTGCATGGCCCTTCTGTTCTTGGCCTGCTCTGCATTCTTTGCTATAGCCCCCTTCTTCAGCTACCAGTTTGCTCTCCTTATTGGCTCAGTGTTATCAAAGGCAAAGGAACTGTTAATTCCTCCCTTGTTTGCCATCTTACATAATACGGGCAAGGGAACTTCACCCTTGTTGCTTTTTATCAGGATTATAACTTTTGACTGAGCTAGAGCCTTTCTTGGAAGAAATTGCTTTTGTTCCTTTGTGATATCTCCTGGAGGTCTGGGTGGCTCCTCTTCATGGGGAGTCTCTCTCTGCCTGTGGCTGTCCCTCTTGCTAAGTTATTTACTGACAGAGCTGCTGGGCCCTGACATGACCTGTTTTCTGTCCTTCCAAGTAATTGGAAATTACTGACCATTGTGTGGGCCCCCATCACTCCCTCCTGAGTCTTCCAAGAACCCTGGAAACTGAAAAGCAAACAGCCACTAGGGCACCTGTCCAGCTCTCTCCATCCCTACCTAAGGGCTTTGACCAAAGCAGTTTCTCTTGGTCCATTGCTTCCCCTTACAGGTGTCTGTAACACATTCCAGTGCAGGTGTTAATAAATTGATCATATAGAATCGTAGAATCGATGAGTCGGAAGGGACCTAGACAGATCATCTAGTCCGACCCCCTGCCATGG